TTTCTTTGGTAAGTCAAACATAATCCAGTGAATGACCACACTTCAAAGGATGTATGAGTTGCACAAATTGGACTTGATATACGATTAAAATAAGAGAAAAAAAAGTTGGGAGGGTGAAAATGAGATTGATGTAGGAGGAGTAAGGAGTGGGAGAATATCAAAATTCATGTAAAAAATTCTCAAAAACTAATAAAATGAATGATAACATAGTTTGAAAAAAATAGTATGATGCTTTTATAATATGTTCTGCCTTTAAAGAATTTTTAAAATCTGCAAATCTTGCTAAGTGTTTATCAGGTATGTGTTGTAAAGTATTAAACGGTAGTAATGCAATTGTGCTTCATGAGAACTATGAAAATTCTAACTATGAGCAAAAAATATTCCTGGGCTGTTCAGTGGTAGGAGAGATGAGCCGAGATATGTATAATGTCTCAACCTGCGGCTCTGTTATGAGCTTCTATTAGCCTTGGAATATTAGGAATTACAGTAAATTTTTGTGGACAACAAACTACAGTAAAAAGTGTGGAATGCAGTTTAAGAATTGATTGTCAGCACCAACTGTGATCCCAAGTTTCACATGAGTATGTTTCAAGATGTGTCACTGAGGATCTTTAACCTTATATTGGATCATGTATAACAAAATTTGGTAGGTTAGTTTATGAAAAAATGTTAATATATCTGTGATATATATAACTGTCAATATAACTTAATAAAACATAATGATGACTACACAGTGTAAGAATTTGCCTCTTAAGGAAGTATTTTGCAATTAAAATAGAAAAGAAGGTACTAATATTTTTATATTAATCAACATATAATTATTTCAAGATTATACCTACTTATACAATTTTAGATAGCCAGTATTAACAACTAGGAAACAAAATGAATAAAGAAAGAATTATGACAATCAACAAGTTTTTAAAAGTTAATGTAGCATTAGAAGAATTAGAAAGTTGAAAGACTGTTAAGGAAATCTTAGAAATGAATGGACAAAGAGTGTGTATAATATACACTATGATGTTTTCTGAACTATATTGAAGTGCTTTACTGTGATTGACATGAAGTCTCCTTTTTTAAAGAATATAGAATGACAAATTTGTGTAGACATTTTTAAGACAAGTCAATGATAAACTGAGACAAGACAAAGGGAGTGAATAAGAAAACTGAAGAGTAAAAATACACACACATTTATTGCAAAGAGAGACAAGTTCTTAAATGCCCCCATTTTACTAAAGACTCATCTCTTTTTGCTCTTCTTGAGTTTGTTTGACCTTGTCCAGATAAGATATAACCATCAAGAGGACAGTACCTGTTTCTACCTAATTCAGACCTTTTATTGAATAAACTATATCTAGTGTAGTTCACTCTTTTCTCTTTTGAGAAATCAGTATAGGTAAAGCATCTACAAATTGCTATACATTTTTGAAGCAAGTTTATGGACATATTCAGACAAGATGACACTATGGTCAAATAGTTCATGGAAAGAAACATCAGAGAAGTCATCTTAAGCATAACACTGGGAACAGAGGCCACAAGGCCCATGCATCAGGTTTGATACAAGGATCAGCAAGTGCTCCTACTGAACAGAAACAGGAGCCCCTAAGAAGGGATGAAGCATTTATCTGAGATTCCAAAACTCATCATATCAGGGGCAATGGACAGCAATGTTTTCTTGGCTATATGAATTGTTCTCGTTAACCTAAATTTCATGCTTTTAAAACTGATTCAATAAATATATATTTATATGGATAAATTGCCTTCTTCACAACCTATAGTATTTTACATTCTAAGATAACATAAAGCAAAAATTACTTCATATTCTTCTTTATTAAATTAGTTTAATCAGTTATGACTTTCCCTTTCCAATATTATCTACAAAGGACAGTCTTCAGAAAACTCCCTGGCTGTTTGCAATATTTTTGGCATACACTATACTCACAAAACTTATGACACAAATATACTCTCATTGTATACTTCCACTTCAGAGCATAAAGAATTCTCAGGTCCTTTCCAAAGAAAAAATAATATATAAATTCCAGAAAATAAAAGTCAACAACTTCTGTCACTACATGTACAAATATGATACCTTATTTCATTTTTAATTATTTATAAAAATAAATATTAATTAGTGATTTCCATGTATGTATCCCTGTATGGGGTGTTCATATCCTCTGAAACTTGAGTTATGGACATTCTGTAATGCCATGTGGATGGTGAGAATTGAACCTCGGTCTTCTCAAGGAAAAGCCAATACTCTTAACTGCTCAGGCATCTCTCTAGCCTCAATACTTTATTACTTATATGTTCAATAATGTATAGTTTTTAATCTCACCATTGTTGTCTTTCTTAAAGTAGATGTTTGCATGCATGTGTGCATATGTAAACATATATATGTACATACTTATATACATATACATATGTGTATATTATACACACACATATATACACATATATAGATATAGAAATATAATTGTGTACTGGCTAAAAATACATGTTACTGATTCTTCCTTAAGATTGGACTTAAATCGTATCAGTAGTTTATTCACTGCACCACAAAGAATTGTCCCACTGTACCCTGGCTGACTGTAACTTGTTATGCTTACTGCTAGAATTAACACCTGGGCTATAGTACCATTATTGAAAATTTTCCACAGACTAACTCCATTGTGCTTCCAGACTCTGAAACTCGATCAACAGAGTAAGTTCCCACCTCAATTCTAGACTAATTTTCAAGACTGTCTTCAGCACTGTGTCCTATCATAGGCTTACATCTAACAGAAGATACAACAACATTAATAGTGTGAGTGGCCTTAGAATCCTACTTTCATTAAGTCCTAGGGATGTAACTTACTCTGAAACTTGGGAGTTTATTGAAAGAACAGAAAGCTTTCACATGAACATTCTCCTTCATGCATGTAATATCTTACAAATTATTTTACATTTACCTTTAATATGCTTTCTGATGTTCTCACCACATGAAGATTGTATATAGAAGTTGTATTTATGTAATAGAAATTTTCTACAGATTCACTATTTCCTCAGATTTACTGTTTCATGTGTCAAGACTAACAAAAATCACTTCTTGATTCTGTATCTACAGGGACATGATTTACATCTTAGCAAGGGTGTTACATACCATGGGCAAGCCTCACACATGTAACAGTGGTTGCTTCCAAAGCATACACCTATAGCGAGTAGCATGGATGGTATCCTTACCTCTTTGCCAAGCCTATAGTCTACAGTAAACTCTATGAAATGCTCAGGTTTCTTCACTTGAGATACCAATATATAATTAGCAAGAGTTGGCATGTAGATAAGTGGCAAGAAAGAGCAGGGCCCATTCACATTTTTCAAACCTATTGCTTCTCCAGTAGTTTTCCACTTTTTTTCACAGTAAATTGCATAGTCTTATGGCCTAGAGCTGTGTATTTGTCAGCAAAGTTTTAGAAAAGCGCCCTGGTATGCTTGCACAATTATTTCTGCTTAGATTACCCTTTTGTCAACCATACAAAATCAGCATACTGTTTACCTCCTGAATCCGGACACTTGAAATGTAATGTGCATCACACATGTGGGTGCACACCTACTTTGAACATTTCTATCTACATGAGTAAATTATACATAGAGGACTTTCTGAGGTAGAGGTAATTCCCGATCCACAAGGCAAGGTAATCCTTTTTATACTCCATCACATCATTCTGCCACTGTTGGCTTAGGTTACCAAGGGTTTAGGTATAGTGATTAATTCAAGTCAACTCCACAAAAATAGATAAGGAACCAGCAAACTCATTTCTTAAGATTATGTCTTCATAACATTTATTTTATAATTGAGAAAGGAAACATCAATAAACTTGTTGTTTCTAGATGTGTATTCCCCTCAAAGAGATCTTTTTCTTGCTTTGTAGGAAGGGCAATAGAAACCACTGGCTCATCTTCTACCTAGTAGAGGATCATTAGCAAATCTTTACAGCCTTTCAGATGTTCAAACCACCACAGCTGCCATATTGTCAGCGTTATCATTGAAAAGTCTTACTTGACCATGCAAATCTCTTATCATGTTTGTTTTTTATGACCCCTGTGCTTAACATTTTTATTTTCTTATCTTGACTGCATTAGCACTTTGCAAACCATATTTAGAATCACATGTCAGTCACTCAGATCCTCAAGAGTCTTTTCTATTTTAAACATTATTTTATGATTAACCATAGCTGGAGAAGACAAAATGTAGATAAAATCTTGGCCATAAACTTTGCCAGTGAGACTCTCATCTCTTCTCACAATTTTAATATGATATTTATGAATGCAATAATTTAGAGCTAATTCTAACCAATATATGTAAAGGGCTTTATTCTTGTCATGATGAAACATGTATCTCCTAAAGTCTATCTATTCAGGTAGAAATAAACCTTTTCTGTAATATTCATATGACTATGATACACAATGGATATGATTTCATTTTTTTACATATTTTTCTTCTCAAAACCTCTTGGGTATTTAACACTGTTTTTGCTCTCTAGCTTTGGGATTTTTTTGTGCTACATTTTCCTTCTCTAGGTTTGTGTGTTTAAAAATTAACTCTAACTATCACAGGCATCTATGCATGTGCCCACCAACATAGAAAGATACTACATAAATGATGATGATAATAGATATATTTTAGATAGTTGATAGGTAGAGATAGATGTCAGAGGTAGATTACAGAAGATAGATAGATAGATAGATAGATAGATAGATAGATAGATAGATAGACATAAAGACAGATGATGGGTAGACATACATACAGATAAATAGATGACAGACAGATAGATATAAAAAAGAAGTAGTCTTAATTGTCATTAAGTGAATTTTATATAAATCTTAATTACAGAGCTTGATAGATAGTCTATTCAAGTAACAAAAAATTAAATACGCTTTTTAGATTTAGACATTTATAAAGAGAATGCTTTTATTTTTTTTAAAGGGATCCATTATATAGACACGTGCTTTCAAAAGATACATGATTAAACTAAACTTCCAAGCAATGCACTGCCATGGACCATCTCCAGAGTAGACAGGGTAGATGTCACTTGGCAACCTTCTCTAGTTATGCGACACTTCAATGTTCTAAGATGAAATTCAGTGTAGAATATATCCACTTGTAAGCAATGGGAAAGGTTAAATATTGCCAACAATTGATAATCTTTGCCATTTGATTTTATGGATGGAAGATGTTCCCAGGTGGGAAACATTTCTGTTATCCTTCTTGTAGGATAGACCTAAAAATCAAAATGATAGTCAGTTATTTGTTGATCACATTGTTAGTGTTTCTTTCTCCTTGTTTTTTATGTGTTAAGTCAGAGAAATGCATTCAGAAATATGCTGCTTCCATCAAAGTTATGGGCTTTCACTTATCGAAGCAAAGAAACTCTCAAATAGAGCATCTATGATCAAAGATTTATTTATTTTATGTATATGAGTACACTGTAATTGTCTTTAGACACCAGAAGAGGGCATTGGGTCCCATTACAGATGGTTGTGAGCCACCATGTGGTTGCTGGGAATTGAACTCAGCACTTCTGGAAGAGCAATTAGTGCTCTTAACCACTGAGCCATCTCTCCAGTCCTGTATCTATGATCAAGAAGGCTCATTTGCATTTCTTCTAACGCACACACAGAACTATGCCTTTTCAGAAGCAGAGGTAGTGTAGGAAATTTCTATGTGACTCTGGGACAATGGAGGAACTCTTGTCACCTTACCACTCATATAAACTCTTACATATTCTTACATATGTAATTCATAGAAGCTGATATGCACCACTATTCTTTTATACACTTCAACTAAATACATTCTCCATTCAGTCTATGTATGAAAATCTCACATGTCATAAGGATAAGAAGGTGACAATATGCAGAGCCAAGGGATGGCTGCAGTCAATGACCTGAACAATTTCACTTCATCCAATAAAGGTCTCCTCTAAATGTCCGTGAGGAACAGTTGTGTTTCATTCTGATTCCCAGAGTGAGAGGGAATGAGAAGCATTTCTGCAAAAGTTGGAGCTGCTAGCAACATCTTAGGGCAGTGGTTCTCAACCATTCTAATTCTGTAATTCATTAATTTGGTTCCCATGCTTTGGTGAACCACAACCACAAAATTATTTTTGTTGCCACATCACAGCTGTAATTTTGATATTGAATTAATAGTAATATTAAACAGATATGTAGGTTATCTGATATGTGACCCCTGTGAAAAAGCCATTTGACACCCAATGGATTCCAGACCCACAGGTGGGGAATCACAATCTAAGAGGACAATTGTCCACAAAACCAGATTTCTATGTTTCACTATACAAAGATGTATTTTGAAATGTCCTTTAGATTTAGTTTATACAACCCATCTCTTTTATGAATGAAACTAACTACCGAGAAATTTCTCACCTTGGTAAATATCCACCTAAGGTCATCCAGGAGTACTCTGTTGTTCTTCTCAGTCTCATAGGCTTTTGAGAGGATAGTTTCAGGGACATCTTCCATGGCTCTCAGTTCAAACACAAGATGGTATAGAGGGCTGATCCAGGCACCCAAAAAATTGATAAACATTTTTAAATACTTTTTGTTCTAGGAAACATAATAGAACCATTGAAATAAAATGATTTCAGTACAGGAAGTTTGTTCCATGTAATGTTCATATGAAAAAGCTGAACTGAACATTTTTTTACTATGTATATATGGCACATGTTATATAGACATTGCACAGTATGGAAATGTAAAATTTTAAAAATTAGTCTATTGTCTACAAAAAAAGAACAATTTATCTTGCTTATACTTTAATATTTTTCCCCTGAGGTAAAGTCATCATGTTTTGTTCTCAGCATTTCTAACAACTTCTTTCTCAGTGAGATCTTTATTATTTGGCTAATTTTATCAATTGATAAAACAGGTCTTCCTGGGACTCAATAGGGGCCAATAATATTCAACTCAGGAAAGATAGATACCACCAGCTAGGACAAATTGGCTCAAATCATTTTTACTCAGGGATCCATCAAAACCAAAAAAAAATATTGTTTATTAAAATACAGATTTATGATTTCTAGGTGAATTTAAGAAATTAGAATGAAGATACAATGAAAACAGCATGATAATCATTGTGCTTTCTCCTTATCTCTGACAGAGTAGAATATTTGCTGCCATGTATGTGTGAAGAAGTGTATTACATCATAACATAGAACTCCTATTATCTGTAGACTTCATAATGAATTGGAGGATTGATGTTCCTAAGGAACATAAGCTTGTACTTCATAGAACTATTCTCTTCATCTGGCTCTTAGTTAAGGAATAGAGAATTATAAAGGCATGAGAAAAAAGGAAAATAAAATAGAACCAGAACGTATCTGAAAACAAAATATGGGGGGGGGGTAGTGTTCAGTAGCATAGAATTCCATGATACAGAACCCATTAGCAACATATAATAATATCTAGACATCACTTATGTAGAAGTGAGTATATAACCATAGATAGGCAATTTAGTTCAAATCATCTTAAAAAATAGTAAGTAAAGTTTCAGTAGCAAGTCATTCCATAAACGCCAGTTTCTATATGTTGTATCTAAGTATCTGCTACAGTTACTGGGTATTTTGATATACTTATCAACATTATAACTTGATTGTTTTTTATACTTACTTTCATTTTTTCTGCATGCATGATTATTGTGTCTATCAAAATGCCTGCCCTGACAGTACTGCCAACACAGTAGATTACTTATGATGTTTTATGAAAAACCCATGAAAGACACTCACTCTGATATATATATATTCAGGTCCAATATTTGGGGGATTTGTGATAGTAGAGTGGCAGTAAGTTCTGGCTCTGAGAACAAGCTGATTCTGCCTAATCAGTTGTGAATTCTGTAAATAAAAATGTAAATTCAGTTTGGGACCCAAAACCGAATAAATACCTCATGACCAGAGTATTAATGCATTTTGATGGTTTTGAAAATTTTCAAAATAAGTACTTCATACAAAAGAGATACTGAGGAGTCAGAAAAGTGACCATCAACTAATTCAGAGTTTATTTATTATGTCTGCTACTTAATTTGGTTTTCCACTAGCTTTTGAATGTTCAACTTCTTCCTCTCTTACACTCCTGTCATTTCATCTTTCCTAAAAGTTACTGTATGCTAGACAGACATTGAAGGAGTGAGTTTATTAAGAAGTAAGTATATCAATTATCATCTTTCTCTAGTATATCAGCACAAGGCCATAACACTCATGTATTAATCTTCCTATTTTTTGTCAACAAATAATGATATTTACTTACCCAGACAACAGAATTATGAATTTAATAATTATAAAACTAAATACACATATCTATGCAAGTTTATACTATTTTAACAAATACATTGTATACATTGTGATAAAATAACTTGCAACACAGACTATTTTACAATAATCTCTATAAAACCCTGATTTAACAAAAAAAATATTAAATAATGACATGTGTTAGTCATTGCTTGTTTAATAAAATATTAAATTTACCAAAATATATACTTTAAAACATTTTATTGATTTCAAAAAGCCAGCTAATTCTTGACAGATAATGTATTATTGTGAAGGTTATGAAGTTGAAAAATGGTCAGTTAAGAACAGGAAATATAAATACTGTATAATTTTACTTGACATAAGACTCCTTTCAAGAAGCAGCTGGAAGAAAAGAAGGTACTTACAAAGACTACAAAATGTCTGGAAGAGAATTCATTGCGGAACTGAGTCATGTTAAGGGAAGAAAAATAACATCTAGTCAATAATAAACCACCATGAAGACATATTTATTGCAAACAGAGACACATTCTCTTGATATCTATCTTATTAAAGGTTTGTCTATTTCTACAACTTCTTTTGTAATTTCTGATTTTGAGAAATGATATGAGGCAATCTACAAGAAAGGATTAGATACATTTCTAATCCTGCACTTATATTGGACAACCACTCAATGAAATCTTTAAACCACAATTTTTGATATTTAGGGACTCTTAGTTTAGCCCCCATCCTCTCTTATCTCACACTCCCTTCCCTCTCTCCTTCTTCTTTCTGCCTTCCTCTCCTCCTTCTTTCTTTTTCTTTCTTTATTCCTTTTTATTTTCTGGATTCTCGCATGCTTCAGTTTATCTCTGGTACAAAGATATAGTTCACTGTAATGCACATCTTCTACGGAGTGTACCTGCAGTGTGCTAAATGAACATGCCTGTGGAAATTTATGATCCTGAATGCAACAACAGGAAATGAGAGTTCTTTGCCCAGGCACATTTTAAAGGCTTAAAGGCTTATGTCATTTTTTTGTAACTAAAATACAGAAAATATAGAAGTATCATTAGATTCTATAAAATATATGACACTGTCCAATTGATCCTGTCTCTGTTTCAGTATTTGGGGCATCTTTTACCATTGAAGCTATATTTTCTGATATCCATCATGATGTTAATGTCTCATGTTCTAGGGAAGTTCAAGCATTATCATGGAGATTGAAATACTTACAAATTCTTGATACATTTCTTCAATAAGTTTATGGATGGTTTCAGCTCGCTTGAGGGCATTGTTAAATGTTACTACAATGGGTTTCATGCAGTGTTCATCTTCTTTCTGACATGCAGGAACTGATGCAGCTTTCTCCCACAGGAGAAAGTTTGAAACCACCAGCAGTAGGACTGAACCTGCAACATAGAAACAAGAGTCATTTAGGGACCATGTATTAGTCTAAGTTTTCTAAGACCCAATGGATTCAGAACACTTTTTATCTAGCCATTTCTTTCTTTATTTTCTTTCATTCTTTCTTTTTCTTAATGACTTGTTATTGGATATCTGGAATGACAGATAAAATCACTGTGATGACCTAGGCAAGTAATTGTATTTTTTAAAATAGTTAGAGAAGTAGGTTATTTACCCTTTTTGTGTGTGTTGTTTCAGAAGTGGTTCTGAATATTGCAAATATCAGGAACTGAAATTAATCCTTAAGTAGTATTTTAAATCACTTTTAGATGGCTTAGGTTTTTTTTGGCATTTGAGTTCATTTTTAGTTACCAAGTTTATGAAAACTTTGTAATTTTTAAAACTCATACCTGATGTTAATGCATTTGATATTACAAGTTTACTTCTACGTGTTTGTCTATAAATAAACAGATTATGATCACTAATAGAAAAGATGATGAGAATGTTCTCCTAAAAATGATGTAACTTTATAATTGCTAACTTATGATAAAATTCAACCAGAGTCTATTTCATCAAAAACTTCTGTTCATTTTCTTTAAGATTGATCTGTATAGTAATTCTGTGAAGAAATTATGTTCACATAATTTTAATCCGAATATATTCATGAAGGAAAAGTCTTCCATGGTGAAAAAAATTCTAATGGCTTTTTATTGGTAGATGTAGAAGTCAGAACACCAACAAACCTACTTTTTCCCTCACATTATTTCTGGCAGAAAACACAACCACAATTTTGAGACTCTGTTCTATCAAAGGTCATGGTCATTATTGCTAAAGCATAAATTTTTTTCACTATGACATTATAGCAGATACTTTAGTAGATTGACTTCATCTACTGTTTTGTCTCTAAACTATTCACTTTTAAAACTTGTGACAGTGATCAAGAGGAGCCTCAATCTCCAAATATCTACTCATTAGGAATGGCAACCGGAGCCTTAAACTTAAGACAGAGGAAAGATTAAAATTAAGGGGGAAGAATGAATATAAGAGTTAGAAGTCAAGAACGTTTACTGAAATAAACTGGATTTATGTGCTTTTTCATAACCAAGTGATCAGCACTAAAATAATAGTGATATAAGCAACATTAAATGGATTAAACAGGTTGTTTATATTTGTCTGTCAATGTAACAGTATTGATTTATTTATTTATTTTTTTGCAAAACCCTCGAGTTTGAAATGGAACAGGGGAATGGGTTTGTGATGAATTGGAAGAATGATATAACACAATATTTATTCATAAAATCTTCAAAACATTAGAAACATTAATGTCTTCATATTTCATTTAAAATATGTTTGGTATCATAGCCTTTTTTTTTTAGATGTAAAAAGACTTTATTTATTTATTTTTTTAGGTCCCATTCTTAGTTTAGTAGAAAACTTTTTTTTTGAACATGAAATGCTTTTTTATAGCATGTTTTACAAGGGGAGGGGGTAAGAGGGGTCAGGTGGTGGAAAAGTACAGAATCTTCTTAGCCTGTGCCTTGAAACATGTCATGGTCTATACGGTACACTGCCTTGAATTATGATCTATCTGCTATTCTTCAGAAGATATGGTACACTGCTTGAGTAATGGTCTCCCTGCTATTCTTAGGCGGTGGTGGCGCACGCCTTTAATCCCAGCACTTGGGAGGCAGAGGCAGGCGGGTTTCTGAGTTCGAGGCCAGCCTGGTCTACAGAGTGAGTTCCAGGACAGCCAGGGCTACACAGAGAAACCCTGTCTCAAAAAACAAAACAAAACAAAAAGACTAATTATATCATAGCCTTTTTTTTTGAATGTGGAAAATAATTTATTTCAAGCTTTCTAGTGACTTACAAGTTGCCCTTGTATCATAGCCTTTTAAATAACAAATATCACCTATAAAATATGACACTTACACTGCACCCCATTGTTCTTCATTTTTGTGATGTCATTTTACTTGTGCTAAATTGGATAACACTGTAAGACACAGTTTAACATCTTTGACTACTTCAGGCTTCAGAACATAAAAATTCTTCAGATTTATTCCAGTGGGAAAACTCATATACAATATTCACAATCTGCTTGTACACCTGCAGGCCAGAAGAGGGCATCAAATCCCATTACAGATGACTGTGAGCCACAATATGGTTGCTGGGAATTGAACTCAGGACCTCAGGAGGAGCAATTGATGCTCTCAACTACAGAGCCGTCTCTCCAGCCACAGATAACAAGGACATATGCTCCACTATGTTCTTAGGAGCCTTATTTATAGCCAAAAGCTAGAAAGAACCCAGATGTCCTTTAATAGAGGAATGGATACAAAAAATGTAGTACATTTACACAATGGAGTACTACTCAGCTATTAAAAACAATGAATTCGAGAAATTCTTAGGCAGATGGATGGAACTAGAAAATATTATCCTGAGTGAGGTAACCCAATCACAAAAGAACACACATGGTATTCACTCACTGATAATTGGATATTAGCCCAGAAGCTCACAATACCCAAGATTCAACTCTCAGACCACATGAACCTCATGAAGTAGGAAGACCAAGTATGAGTGCTTCGGTCCTTCTTAGAAGGAGTAACAAAATAATCAAGGGAGAAAATATGGAGACAAAGTGTGGGACAGAAACTCAAGGAGGGGCCGTCTGTAGACCATCCCACCTGGGTATCCATCCCATGTGCAGTCACCAAATGTAGACACGAATGTGGATGTCAGGAAGTGCATGCTGACAGGAGACTGATATAGCTGTCTCTTTAGAGGTCTCCCAGAGTCTGACATATTCAGAGGAGGATGCCCACAGCTAACCATTGAACTGATTAAGGGATTTGAATTGGAGGAGTTAGAGTGAAGACTGAAGGAGCTGAAAGGGTTTGCAGCCCCATGAGAAGAGCAACAATACGAACCAACCAGAGTTCCCAGGGTCTAAACCACCAGTCTGGGAGTACATAGAGAGGGACCCATGGCTCCAGCTATATATGTAGGGAGGATGGCCTTGTTGGGCATAGGTGGGAGAGGAGATCCTTGGTCCCTTGAAGGCTGGATGCCAAGTGTGGGGGAATTCGAGGGTGGGGAGATGGGAGTGGAGTGATGGAGGGACACATCCTTGTAGAAGCAGGAGGATTGGACATGAGACAGGGGGTTCCAGGTTGTGGGGATGTGGGTTAAGGGGATAACATCTGAAATGTAAATTAAAATACTCAGTTAAAAAAACAATATTCACAATTACAATTCTGTTTCTTCTAAATGAGATGACTTGATTTGGACCCACTGACTTTCCATCCTCAATTGTTCCAACTTCCCAAGCACCAAAACATTGTCCTTTTGAGCTGTATTATCTGTTCTGGATGGTACTACACACATTGGAAGCTGCTTAATGATTCCCATCAATTCTACTCATTGAATAACAGTATCACTTTTCTCTGCCTCTCATTTTTATAGAAAAGACAACAAAGCCTCTCTTTGTACATTGCAACATGTCTCAAGTTAAAGAATGATGAGAACTACTAATCCAATTGTCTCTTGTGATTTGTACAGTTTTCTTTCATGAAAAGTAATTTTCAAAAGTATTAGAAAGTGTATGCTGAGTTCTTCTCGTGGTAATCTATGAAAAAATATCTTTTCACATCAGATTGAACATCAAAGATTCCAAAGAAAGACTTCCATTAAAATAAACTCAAAGAACCACTGAACTGGATATTTTAAATTAGAGAGAAACTTGGGGTAATTTACTTACAGAAGTGAGGTTGACTCAATGGCAGCCCCATATTTGAGGACTTCCTAAGCAGGATGAGTTCTGACTCTGGAGATCTGCTTCACGGGCACCCAACATTCAGTTAGTTTTCTGGTCCTATATATTCTAGTAGATAAGCCCAAGGGCATGTACAGCCATGGACAGCAAGAAGTCACGTACAAAAACCCTCATTCATGAACCATGTCTTTCTATCTCCAGGGAATGTTAACCATTTTATTACAAGATACTTATAAGTGTCTGGATGATTTCTCTTTGTTTCTTTCTACACATTGATTCTTGTCAAAATTATTTTTTAAATCTCTGACCATCTTAGCTGCCTAATGACAGACTGTCATATCAGACCAGAAGGAAACGGGTTTTCATAATTGCTTCACTTTTTTATACTCTGGATTTTTCTGTCATCTGTCTCATGTTTATGAACAGATAGGGATTCTGTTTTGAATATTTGAACACCATGCAATTGAATTAGAAAATTTTCAATAGTGTTATAAATATCTGCTAGTAGTCACTGACACTGTAAAGGTTGTTTCTCTATGAACTAAGCTGACAGTTATAATAATCTTCATGCTTAATTTAGATATGTGGAAGACATTTTGAACTATATCATTTATATTTAACAGACAAACTTCTTTAACTCTAGAACCTAATATCTCCCAAAAATGATTGAATTTGAATTAATATACTAAGCATTGATTAATTCCTTGTTATTTGTTTTAAACATATCAAGAATTTGTTAAGTGCACCAAAGCCAAATGTGCCAGTATTGCACTAGTGATTTTAGTTTTATACACTTGCCGCTAGTAGTAGCAATTAGGCCATTATACCACTGTTGAAAATTCTCCAAAAGCAAATTCTTCTAGATTTTACTTTTTGTTTTCTTTTTCTTTTTCTTTCTTTTATAAGGTTATTTTTACATTTCAAATAGTGTCTCCTTCCCTTACAGGTTCTCTCTCTCCATTGTTGGGCATTTTCATTAATGTCATTCCCATTGGGTCCTTGGAATTTTTTGCTTCCCTGACATTTGGGACTTTCTAATGACTACCTACCGTTCCCCATCCACCACTACTATATACCTCCTTTCAATTTCTTTTTTTTTTTTTTTTTGGTTTTTCGAGACAGGGTTTCTCTGTGTAGCCCTGGCTGTCCTGGAACTCACTCTGTAGACCAGGCTGGCCTCGAACTCAGAAATCCACCTGCCTCTGCCTCCCAAGTGCTGGGATTAAAGGCGTGCGCCACCACCGCCTGGCCTCCTTTCAATTTCTTGATCCTCTGAACTTCTCCCCAATCTCTTCCCATATCTGATCTTGTCTCCCTTTTATCCTCCCCTCCTCACACACTTCCAGATGGCTTCCTCCCTCTACTTCTCATAACTATTTTGTTCCCATTTCTATGTAGGACTAAAGCATCAAAACTTTGGTCTCCCTTCTTGTTGAGATTCATATGATCAGAGAGTTTTATTGTGGGTATTCCAAACTTTGGAGCTAAAATCCACTCACAAGTGAATATATACCATTTGTGTTCTTTTGTGACTGTGTTACATCAGTCAGAATGATATTTTTCTAGTTCCATCCATTTACCTAAGAATTTCTCAACTTTACTGTTTAAAATAGCTGAGTAACACTCCATTGTGTAAATGTATCACATTTTTTTGTATCCATTTCTCTGTTGAAGGATATCTGGATTGTTTCCAGCTTCTGACTATTATAAATAAGGCTGCTATGAACATAGTGGAGCATATGTCCTTGTTTTATGTTGGAGCATTGTTTGGTTATATGCCCAGGAGTGGTATAGCTGGGCTCTCAGTTAGTACTATGTCAAATTTTCTGAGGAACTGCCAAAATGATTCCCAGAGTGGTTGCACCAGCTTGCAATCCCACCAACAATGGCAGAGTATTCCTCTTTCTCAATATCCTTGCCAGCTTCTACTGTCCCCTGAGTTTTTGATCTTGTCCATTCTGACTGGTGTGAGGTGGAATCTCAGGGTTGTTTAGATTTTCATTTCTCTGATGACTAACGATGTTGAACATTTCTTTAGGTGCTTCTTGGTCATTCCATGTTACTTAGGTGAGAATTTTTGTTTATCTCTGTAGCCTGATTTTTAATGGAGTTATTGGGTTCTCTGGAGTCTCAGTTCTTGAGTTTTTTGTGTATATTGGATATTAGCTCTCTATCAGATGTAGGATTGGTAAAAATCTTTTCCCAATTTGTAGTTTGCTGTTTTGTCCTATTGACAGTGTGCTTTGCCTTACACAGGCTTTTCTCCTTTATGTGTTACCATTATTCAGTAGTTGATCTTAGAGCACGAGCCACTGGTATTGTGCTCTGAAAATTTTCCCCTGTGCAGATGTGTTTGAGGCTCTTCCCCACTTGCTCTTCTATTAGATTCGATGTATTTGGCTTTATCTGGAGGTCCTGGATCCATTTGTACTTGAGCTTTGAACAAGAAGATAAGGATAGATCAATTTGCATTCTTCTACAAGCCTACCACCAATTAAGGCAGTACCATTTGTTGAAAATGCTGTCTTTTCCTCCTAAAATCGCAAAGATCCTTATTGGACTTGATTTACTCTATTACAAAAGAAAAGGCTGTGTACAGCTCTTGACTGTATACAGCTCTTAAAGAAGAAGGTTGCCTTTACATAGACAAGACAAGGAGGGATAAAGAGAGCATGAAACAGGTAGTGAAGTCCCTAAGAAAAATCAGAGAGAGAAAGAGACAAATGAAGGCTGGTACAAACATTGCTTTTCAGCCTCTCCAAAGTTGTCAACCCTATTTCCTCCCATCTTGGGACCATTATTTGGGTTCTTTTTGCTTTTTTCTGCTGGTCCCTGGCTCTCAAATAGGCAGACTAACTCTATGACACAACAGATAAATAATACCTACTCAGATACATTATCATAAGTTAGCTATGGAGGACCACGAGACACAAGATGAGGTTGTTACTTTATACAGGGTGTTTCCAAAACCCAACTCCACTCAACCTAAAAAGGGGGACTTCTGCCCCTAAACCTAGCAGAGAGGGGCCACCTAGAACCCCCTCTGTCAGGCAATCTGAATTCTTGCTTAGGCTACGAGGCTAAGCACTGCAAGGGAATATAAATAAAAGATAAAAATATCTCTCTGGGTTCCCTGAGGGACAAGCTTGACTGCATAGGGGTTGATGTCAAAAGTATCTCCTCTCCAGGAAAAAGACATCGGGACAGGCGTGGCCCTCATGCCTCACTGGACAACAACAGGGGGACTGTAGCCATTACAAGGTCCCTTTCAAATACTGGAGGTCAGGCCTCTATCCCCGCCTTCGCAAGATTAGAATTGCCACAGCCCTTCTATACTTAGAGAAGGGAGAAGATGTCAGGGGGCAGCCCTGCTAACACACTGAAGGCCTGAATTAAGCCATAGGCCTAAAATCAGCAATAGGCCTATCATGCATGTATACTAACACCAAGTCTTGGGTCTCAGTGGAAAAACATTGAAACAGATGGCTATAAGCTAACATAAACAGGCAGCTTTTGTGGAAATTTACAAGCCTGAGTAGTCATAGACCTTGTAATAGGTAGCCTTGGCAGACAATACCAACTTAGATAAGGACAAGCAAGTCATAGGCAGAGTCATAGTGACTTGTCCCCTGAACCTTCACCTAGCCGATACCCAGTTCTGATGATATCTGTATTCCCCCTGATCACCCACACTCCAGTGTCTTTCCCTTCCCCACATCCTACCTTTCTGTCTTCATAACCCCTGTGTGAATGAATTATGATTTGAGAAAAAATAAATTATAAAAAAAAGAAAATGCTGTCTTTTGTCCACAGGATAATTTTGGTTTCTTTGAGAAAGATCAGGTGACCAAAAGTGTCTGGGTTTAATTCTACGTCTTCTATTGTACTTCATTGATCTATCTTTCTGTCTCTGTACCAATTCCATGAATGTGTTATCACTATTGCTCTGTAGTACTGTTTGAATTCAGGGATGGTAATTCTGTTAGAAGTTCTCTTATTGTTGAGAATAGTTTTTGCTATACTGGGTTTTTTGATCATTTCAAATGATTTTGAAAATTGCTCTTTCTATCTCTGCGAAGAATTGAGTTGGAATTTTGATTCAGATTGCATTGAATCTGTAGACTGCTCTTGGTAAGTCATCCATTTTTGTTATGTTAATCCTGCTAATCCATGAGCATGGCAGATCTTTCCATCTTCTAAGGTGTTCTTCGATTTCTTTCTTCAGGGACTTGAAGTTCTTGTCATACAGTTCTTTTACTTGCTTGGTTAGAGTTACACCAAGATATTAGATTTTGGCAGATAGTCAATATTGAAAGAACTTCTACTTCAATGTCAATAAAACTTATTCATATTGTTGAAAGAGAGTACTTGCTGACTAAAAATTTTAGGCAAACCACTTTGTTCTGATGTTCATTTAAACTGAGATATAGCTACAAGAATGGTTTGAGGTTCTTCAAAAGCGTAACTGTACTATATATCTTAGAAAGGTAACTCTGATCTCAGGTCACCCTAATCTATTTATTTCAATAAACATATATTTCTCAAGATTCCTTTTCTGTAATGTATGTACCTGCTCAAATATTCATGATGAGGTGTTTAGTATCTTTTCAGATTCTTCACCCAATGATGAAGTGCGTAAAAGTTGGATTTATGTAATGAAAATTTTACAGAAGTTTAGCACTTTCATAGAGGTACTCTTACTTCCTTGAAGAAACCATGGATTCAGTTAATGACACTGCATCTACATGGACATTAGTCACAGCTTAGTAATGATGTTACACAGCCTGAACAAGCCTTGGGGTTATACATGTTATTTATTCCAAAGTACAGTGTTGTGTAGAGTAGCACAGATCGGATCATTACTTCCTTTCCAAGCCTATAATCTAAAGACAGCTCTCTGAACATTTTAGGTAGCTTCACCTGGAACTCTGACATATGATTAGGAAGAGCTGGCATCTGGCTAAGGGTCAAGAAGAAGGGTCTACTCAGATTTACCAAATATATTGCTCCTCCAGA